CCCTGGCTCCCACCCGCCCTCCATCCCATTTTCCTCTGGAATCCAAAGTTTTCCCTGCAGCCAAGCGGGAAAGTTGGAGCTCGGCACCGCTGCGGGAGCCGTGGCCGGGGGTCCCGGTGTCCCCCGGGGGTGTCTGGGGCCGGGGTCTCCCCCCCGCTGGCGGGGGCGCCCGTGACAGCCCGGCCTCATCCCACTCTTCCGTTCTTGCATAACCGGGGCTGCTTCTCCCGGAGCCGCGACGCCCGGCTGCGGAGTTTGGCTGTGGCCGGCCTGGTGACACTGGGAATGTGTTTACCCGGCGACGGACCGGGCTGTCCGTCCATCTGTCCGTGTGTCTGCCCGTCCAGCCTCCCCCCATCCGCGCATCCAGCTCCCCCATTCCGCGTGTCCAGCTCCCCTGCCAGCGGCTCTTTCCCAAGCCGTGCACGTCGCGTTCCCGGCCCTTATTGATCTATTCAGTAAATACTTGAGCTCGTCAGCTCCATGGCCGGGCTGGGAATGTGCGAGGGGCCGCTCTTGGCAGCGCCCGCGCTCTGCGCTGGCAGCTGATCCAGCCGGGAACCGGCGGCCGTGGCGAAGTTCCTCGCAACGCCTGGACGCTCGGGGCTGTTTATCCCTTTAAAAGCAGGGAAATGAGGGGGGGTCTCGGTTTTCCTCTTGCAGATCCCCGCTGTGTGCATGGGAACGGCCTGGTGAAATGAGAGGCCGGGGTGACTGATGAGTGAGAGGGTTTTTTTTTGGTGGGGAAAGGTTTTTTTCTGTTCCCTTTCTTCACCCACCTTGGACTGAAGCGAGAGAAGGGATTTGGTGTCGTGGCAGTGGCAGCGCCTGACCCGTCACCGGGTCGGAGGGATGGAGGAGGAGGAGGAGGTTTGGGCAAACGCCAGATCCCTGCCCCAGATTTGTGTCTGGGGCTGCGGGAGGCCGGAGCCTGCGGTTTCCATCCTCCGGCCCCTCCTGCCCTGCTGGGGGTCTGGGCGCTCCATCAGTGTCCCTTGGAGGGAGGTGACAGGAGCAGAGCACCTCGAGGCACCCCTCAGCCCCCCCTCACCTGGCACCTGTGGGGCTGGTTGACCCGCTGGCACCCACCCGGGGGGCTCGGTGGTGCAGGTGACCAACAGCTGAGCCCTCCAGGGTCGCCCGCCTGGGGACCCGGCTCTCGGGGGCATCGTCCCTGCTCGGAGGGAGCAGCCGGCGGATCCAGAAGTTGGTGGGGGCGGCAGGGAGGCATCGCTCATTGCATAAGCTGCGTTGCCTTTGGAAACGAGGCTGCGGAGAGATGATGAGCCGGAGGGAAGTTCCTCCATCCTCTTCTCCACCCCAGGAGCCAGAGCGGGGCAGAGACACCCCCTCCTCCCAGCGTGTGTCGCCCTCCCAAGGGGCTCCCACCTCCCAGGGCCTTGAGCAGAGTAAGAGGTGCTGGGACCTGTGTGAGTCTGTGGGTGGCAGGATGAGGAAAGGGCTCTGGAAGCCCCTCGCTCTGCAGGCATGTGGCTGGGCTGGCTGGGAGGCAGAAGGTGGCACCTGAGCTGGTGCCTTGGCCCCAGCAGTCCTGTCTGGGCTCTGGTCTCCCACTGCCCCTGGTGGGTACAGTGGGGCTCTGGGAGAGCCTGGGAAGTCACGGGCAGCAAGGTCCGGTGTCCCCATCCTTGTCTGGAGACCCGATTCCCCACACTCTCTGCCGTGGTTTGCAGCTCTGGAAGCTCTTCACTTCTTCCTGGAAAGAGAAGGGCAAAGTCCTGCTGGGAACGGGAGGAAGCTCTTCCAGGGGGACAAAGGGCACCGATGTGCAGCTCCTCTGTGCCCGACCCTGCGCCGCTTCCTGGAGCTGCGTGGGGTGTCCCTGGGCCCTGCGGTGGCACAGCCGGGTGGCCTTGGGGGCAGAGCGAGGGCAGGCAGGGATCGCCCCGTTCCTGTTTTGGAAATACCTGTGGTTGAGGGTGGCTGAGGGGTTCCAGAGCAGCGCTTCCCTCTCGCCGCCTTGGTGGTCTGGCGTGTCCCGTGTGTGCGAGGGGAGTGTGTGTGCCCACGTTCACATGTGTGTGCCCATGTTCACATGTGTGTGCCCACGTTCACATGTGTGTGCCCACATTCACACATGTGTGCCCATGTTCACACGTGTGTGCCCACGTTCATATGTGTGTGTCCATGTTCGCACGTGTGTGCCCACGTTCACATGTGTGTGCCCACGTGTGTGCCCATGTTCATATGTGTGTGCCCACGTTCACAGGTGTGTGCCCACGTGTGTGCCCACGTTCACAGGTGTGTGCCCATGTGTGCACACGTGTGTGCGTGCGCTGCTTCCCGGGGCGTGCGTGGACACGCCTGAAGCCCTGCTGGGTTCAGGGCAGGTGAAGGGCGGAGGTTTGGGGGTGCTGGGAGGAGGAGGAGGAGGCAGGAGCTGTCAGAGGGGCTGCCCCTGGGGAAGGGCTGGGGGTTCCTTTGCAGTGGCAGGGAGGGGTGTCTGACATTCCTGTGCAGAGCATCCCAGCGGGATGAGATGCTCCACTCTGCTGGGCTTGGGGTTGCCAAGAGTCCCGTGGGGAGGCTGTGCCATGGGGTGCCAGCGTGCCCCCATCCCACGTGCTCCCTGTCTGTGACACACAGCGATGCTGAGAGGATGGGGCAGCGCTGGAGCATCCCTGGCAGCGCTGCCCCGTTTGGGGTGAAGCCTCCTCGCTGCCTCCTCGCTGCTCCCAGAGCTCCCCGAGGCGCCGTGGGCGGCGTGGAGGTGGGAACAGCTGTGGCAGCCCCCTCGCCTTTGGTGCCTCAGCCCCACCGCTCGCTCCTCGTGTTCCCTCCGTGCCGGTTCCATGTGCTCCGGGGGAGCCTGCGAACCGGGAAGGAGCGGGGGCTGCTCCAGCTGGTGATGCTTTTCCTCCTGTGTCGAGTACCAGTTGGGATGACGGGGAGCAAAACTGCGCCCTCCAAGGCCCTGGCTCCTGGAGCATCCTTTGGAGGAGCTGGCTGTGCTTTGGCGTTCCTTGGTTCCTCTTTGCCCCCAGCCTGGTGGGCTGGCCTGGGCTCTCCTCTGCTGCACAGGCGTTCCCCTCTTCTTGCGGGAACGGCAGGATTGGAGCGGAAATTTGGAGACGAATTAAGGGAAAAGCTGCGTAAAGCAGCTGCTGGGTGGGGTCCCCAAAACACAGCCCCGGAGTCCGCCAAGGGGAGGGGGTGGTGGCATGAGCAGCTTCGAGGCAGGAGTGTTATCTCCCAAATCTGTCCTCCTGCTGTCTGGGGTGAGGGTGTTCAGGGAAGGACAGTGGACAGGCTGAGCTCAGCCCTGCTCCTGCCCCCTCTGGGAGGGTGTGAGGGGACCCAGCTGCCCCCTGAGCTGTGGCAGCATCGGGGTCACCTCCTGGCGCTCGGGGAAGGGGATGGAGGGCGGGCAGGGTGAGGACCAGGAGCCCTTTGGCCAGGAATAGGGGGCACCCTGGGGATGGTGCCCACAGGGGAGGGTTTGTTTGGCTGTCCCAGGAGGCAGGAGGAGACGAACCCGTGTTTGTGACCCTCGTGGCGCTCCAGGGATGCTCCTTTGGAGGGTCATGGGCCCCCAGGAGCCTCTCCAAAACACAGGGAGCACGTGCCTCTGCAGGTGCCCTTTGCCTGTGCCCTGGGTGCACAGAGGGTGCTTCTCAAAACCACAAGCAGGGCTGGGCCCTCTGGAGTGCCCGGGGAGGGGGGGAACACACAGGGTGTGCTGCATCCTGCTGAGTCAGCACCACGGTAACCAGCGGGTGAGCCCGCGGCTCTGTCACGGGGCAGGAGCTTCCTCTTCCAGGCGTGGAGGCGATTTCGGTTCCCAGATCCACTCCAAGCACTTTCCTCGTGCCAACCTTGCGGATAAATCCTTGCCCTGTGGCCCCCCAGACTCCCTGTCCGGCCCCCAGCCCTGCTGGGGGGGTGCATCTCTCCGAGAGCCGCCTGCTAAGCTCAGTCCTGCTCCCAGCTCATCCCAGCAAGCCACAGGGCTCAGCTGGAGTGTCTGGGATGAATCTGGCGGTCCCAGAGTTGGGAATGAGCTCCTTGGAGTTGGTGCTGACCCCTGGCCGCTGTGGCTGGTGGGCTGGTGAGCGATGGATGCATCCACCCGCTTCCTTCCCGCGGTCCCGGCTTTGCCAGGCAGACAGGACTCTCCCTGTGCTTGGGATGAATATCTGCATCACCTCTGGCTGTGACATCC